ATATATAATCAATATTTAAACATCTGATCTGATTGTAAAAAAAAGACTTCCTGAAACAAACAGAATATTTAGAAAAAAACATCTTTATTGATTTATTGCGTTAAAAGTACAGAATCTGTAATCAAATACAAATCATGTGTGATTAAAAGAGCTTGAGCAAATTGTGATTGTCGGAGCAATTCCCAGAGAAGCAGTGGGTCCATCAGTCCTGCTGGGTGATCATTTTTAACATCTGTAGGGCCATGGGTCCCTGGTCTGAGGGGACCTGGAACAACAAACACCAGAGAACAGGACTGTTCAGAGACCACAGGTCCACAAGACTAAACCAGAAAGATGAAGAAAGATTAGCAGATTCAAAAAGTAAATAGTGGATGATTACGACATTACTGATTGGTGATATTTTTTATTTTATATTAAATTTCATGAATCGTTCCACTCCGACTACTTGTCATTTTTTCATCTATAAACCGTGTGAACTATCAGCAGTTTTATCACGGTATGATATATGGATTTGTTTGGAAAAGTGGGATTGGATTGAAGCAGTATCATATCAATGTCCATGTAACAATCATTATCGATCCACATCGACCGTGTGATGAAGATACAGATCAATGGGCCTCATGCAAGAACATGTTCGTATTCTTATTCTTATCCTAAATTTCTCCTACTTTTGTTCGTATGAAGGGTTCGTACGAACATGTCACGTCAGATTCAACAAACTCTTCTATCTTCAGGAAAAGTGTGTAAATGAGGAGCATAAACGGATGAATGTGTATCAGGTGCTCGCGCACGAGGAGAGGAGATTAGCATAATTACCACCCCAAAAACACCATATAAGGTTACGTTTCCTGCCCCACATACCAGGAAGTGTCCATTCATAAATGACATCATAAAATAAAAAAGCAGAACTTTACGAGTTTGCAGATTGAAGTCCTGCTGTCAGAGATCCAGAAAAAAAAATCTGTCATTTTTAGCAGCGTCAGACCTGCTAAAGACAAGGAATGAAATGACGACTGCTGTTAATGTCGTGTCTCCTGTGGGTCGTATACAGTCACAGAAATAAAAATCTAAATCATATTCATCTCTCTCTAGTCCTGCTCCAGGTTTCATTTCGACAAATATTTTAAAATTTAAGTCTACACAACTAGTTTTCATTTCTTCAGAAGAAGAGCAGATGCGCACCGGTAGCCCCCTCCCCCACAGCCGTCACAAGTGGTGCCAGATGTGGTTCTGAATAAAAGCATTTTAAA